GTGCTTCCGCTCATTTCTCCCGTGTTATTATCCAAAGTGAACGTAAACTTGAATAATGTACATCATTTGAATGTAATAATTATGTTGGTTGTTGTTTGTGGAAGCGCCAGTGAATGAGCCCCATTAATTGAGTTTTAAACATCACTTTAAAGGAAGATCCCCATAAGCCCCGCCCACTCGATCGGATCGGCGATCGGTATCGGCCGATACTGATTCCGGCGATCGGCGATCGGCCCCAAAATTGGCGATCGGAGCATCCCTAATGCAGATGTTTCTGAACGTGATGCAGATGTTTCTGAACGTGATGCAGATGTTTTCTTACTGTTGCTGGACTTGAGGTCCCGGTGGATGATGGGCACGATGGCCTGGCTGTGCAGGTAGAGGATGCCGCGGGCGATCTGCACCGCCCAGTCCACCAGGGTGCAGGGCGGGATGCGTTTCCCAGCCAAGGCGCGGTTGAGGGGGCCCCCCCGGGCGAGCTCCATCACCAGACACAGGTTGGGCTCCAGCAGACAGACCCCCAGCAGCCCCATGATGTTGGGGTGGTTCAGCATGGCGAACAGCTTGGCCTCCTGGCGGACGCTCTCCAGGGTCTGATCAGGGTCCTCGTCCGGGTCCCGCCGCGCCGCCTTCACTGCGACCTCCGACCCCCGCCACACCGCCCGGTACACCTTCCCAAAGCCCCCCACCCCAATGATCTCCTCCAGGGTCAGCTCCGAGAAATCTATCTCCAGCACTGAGGAGGGAGGAGGAGAGGAAAAGGATGAGATTTAGAGAGGCTGACCCAACATGAGTTTAGTATTTTGTTGTTTTTATATCTTATATATATTATTTATATTATATATCTATATTTTTATTAATATTTTAGTAGACTTTTATACTTTCTTAACTAACTGCATTGTTACGACCAATAATACAAACACACAACTTTGCAAGAAGCTCAAAACACAACGGAAACCAAGGGGCACTAAAAAGTGACGCACACAGCTGGGAGACCAGGGGACACTAAAGAGTGACGCACACAGCTGGGACCTGAGCGCTTGGTGACTTCAGGATTATAAAGCTGAACAACTGTCTCTGTTGTTGGAAACGTTACCTAAAAGGTTTTATGGTCTTATTTTAACAATGTGATCACATGACTCCTCCTGATGTTACTGAAGATCTGCTGTAAGCTAGCTAGCTAACGAAGCTAACCTAGTCATTTCAGATATAATGACAAACACTAACAGTTATGACTGAGACAGACTAACTCTGCAACCGAGACAGTTGTGCAGCGTTATAATCCCCTGATCCCCGTTGTGTTTTGAGCTTCTTGAAGCGTTTGGTTTATTGTGCGCAGATTTGTGAAGATGTGTCTTCATCTGCATGTGTTTTGGCTAACTTGTGTTATTTATTTTATTTGCATCATTTCTGAAACTGCAATGTGTTTCAACTGATGAAAGTGTTTTTGAACGTTGTACATACTGTAGGTACAACGGCTCCATTTGTAATGATATAACATTTAAAACAATCACAACAAAGTGCTTTTGCCACATCGACATGAAATACTTTTTTGTATGCACCTATAACCTTATGTACTTAATGCACTGTATGCACCTAGCACTTGTTCAAAGATATGTAGAAAAATCGTATTTAAAATTCTTCATATCTGCTTTTTTTTAACCCAATTATAATGTTGTTATTTTATACAGTATTTCACTCGTATTGCTGCTCACATGACATTTCCCACTGGATCAATAACGATTTATCTCATCTCTAAATCTCTTGACACAACATTAACATTTGTTGCAGACATCCTTCCAAGGACATGAAGGGTTAAAGTCAGCCCGTTATCAGCTGGTAATAATTAACAGTTTGCTCTTAAAGAAGGCAAAAGCATGCTAACAAGGACGTTAAAACCAGGTCACTGAGTGGAAGCATGCTTTCACTGAGCCACCCTGATGCCCCAAATACAGGAAGTGATGAAACTAAGAGTGAGCATCTGTCCAAAAATCTGACTAATGTTGGAGGAAGAAATGATGATGACCCTTTCCTGTGAGAGATGACCAGCAGCCTTTGTGTCTGTTCATTCTCTGCTAGCAGCCTCCTCAGCAGACTGACCTTGATGAATATTTCAGGTGGATGATGTGAAAGTAGGCCAGCTGCTGCTGAGGAGATGAAAGCTAACAAAGACAGCTGTCCTCCACCCAAACAAGCAGCGCTGATGTGGGTCGTGCTGCCTTAAAATACAAGATTTATTATCCTGTCTTTGCTTTTACACTGATATTAGATTTGGGTTGATGCAGCTGCAGGGGATCCTTTAAAGCTACTGTGCAGTTAGGAGCTTTTCTGCTTACTGTCTCTATCTGAGGCTGCACATTTAGCTCCACTAGACATTTATTTAGCTCTATGTTGTTGCACCGGCCACCGTGCATATCAAGATAATGCATTGGCCACAAAGCTATTTCCATGTACATAATATTTGATGATAATATTGCAGGCAAGGGAGCAGCATGTCCAGTTCTCTTCTCTTTCTGCTGAGGATGCAGCACAGGGTGCATTGTAATTTGAGGCGGGGTGCCTGTGTGTGTGTGTGTTTGTGTGTGACAGGCAAAGGGATGAATAATGGTGCTGAGGCTGTGAGGATGTTTGTAGGCCAACAGGAGCTCACTGCGCCGTGACACAGCACTCTGTCTCTCTCACACAAACACACACACATTCACACACTCTGTTTAGTGATGTAGCATTAGCATGGAGCACAATAGGACTCACGGTGCAGGGGGGGCACTGGGTACTGCTGCTGCTCCCCGGTGTCCCGGATGTCTCCGTGGCTCACATAGTTGGAGGGGAAGATGCCGACCCGGTCCAGGATCATGCCGGTCCACCAGCCCTCATCCCCGGACACTAGCGAGTCCTTGGACAGCACCTCCACCAGGTCGCCCCTCCGCAGGCTGAGCTCGTCCTCCGCCGCCGCTTCATAGTCGAACACGGCCCTCCAGAATCCCGGTGCCGCGTCCGGTACTGCGTCCGGCACCGCGTCTGGCACCGCGCCGCCTCCATCCTCCGGCCAGCGGAACACATCCTCTTCCGCTGAGGAGACACACACCCTGGGACTCAAACTGGTGTCCGAAGCGGGTTTGAAGACATCCATGGACGCGATCCATAGGGGCGACCTGGATCACTGCATCCACCTGACGCGGCTGGAGGCTCGGTGCGCGCTGCGTCTACACACACACACTCTCTCTCTCACACACACAGCTAAGTAGTGGCTAATCCTGCACACAAACACTGCAGGAGACTCGGTGCGCCATTCTGCAGCATCGTGTGTGTCTGTCAATGCTGCTTCACACACACTCAGCTGCAGGTTGATGCTTCTCACACACAAACACACACACTCACATACTCGGCTGCAGGTTGGTTCCTCTCAGTGCTCAATCCTTCCCCCAGTCATGGCTGAAACTCACCGTCTTTATTGTAAGCCAATTGTGCAAACGTGCGAATCATCCTCGGCTTTCTATTGGTGCAGATACACGTCAGTAACGCTTTAAGCCCCGCCCCTATCTCAGCTGCTCCACGCCAGTTAAACACACACACACACACTTACTTACTTACACGCACACACTTACACACACACTTACACACTTACACACTTACACACACACACACACACACACACACACACACACACACACACACACACACACACACACACACACACACACAC